CTGGCCTGGGCTGCGGCGGCCGGCCTGTTCTTCAAGGGGGGGGCGAAGAGGGCGCGAAGATTATCTTCGCCGCCCTCGAGGGCTCGAGGGCGCGAAGATCATCGCGCATCGCGGGAGGGCATGCGCGAAGTTGGGCGACCTCTGCCTTCCGCTGCAGCCGCCCACCAGACAGCGTCTCTGCGCCCCGCCTCCCTTCACTCTGAGCTGGCCGGTGCGCGTTCCCGGGCACGGCCCCCGGAGGCCCAGGAGGGCCAGCACGCGCCCAGAGACTGCCGATGTCCCCAGCGGTGCGCCGCACCGCTCTTTTACCCCCTTCCTCCTCCAACCCCACCTCTTCCACCTCCTCCTCCTCTTCCTCCTCCTCCTCCTCCTACTCCTCCTCCTCCACCTCCACCTCTTCCTCCTCCTCCACCTCCACCTCTTCCTCCTCCTCCTCCTCCTCCTCCTCCTCCTCCTCCTGCACCTCCTCCTCCTCCTCCTGCACCTCCTCCTCCTCAACCTTCTCCTCCTCCTCCTCCTCCTCCTCCTCCTCCTCCTCCTCCTCCTCCTCCTGTTCTCCTCCCCCGTCTCCGGCTGAGTGTGATCACGCTTGCTGCGCCCAGCGCCGCGCTTCTAGACACTGCGAGCACCGGGCGCCCTGCCTGTGCCAGCCACGTCGTGCGAGCCTAGGCTTCACTCGGGCCTGTCCCTCTACAAGAGGAATACCCAAAAATAGTAAAGAATGGTCGGGGGACGAGTTTTCGATCATGCTTGGACTATTGTTGAGCATCTTTGGGGCATGTTTTATTGTTCGTGCAGAATCCGCCTGTAAGGGACATGCCCGGCCTAAGAGCTCCTCTGGGTACAGTCTCTTCCTCGGGGAGGCCGTCGGCCTCCTTGTCTCGGCGGACCCGGGGCATCCGCCGACCCCGCGCGCCCAGGCTCTTCCTGGGTCCCTGGACCCGCGAATGCGGAGTCGTGCCGCGCGAGCCTCCCGAATCATAGTTCCGTCTGGCATGGCAGCCCAGGACGCCCGAGGATGTCATGAGCGGGCATGGCTCGACGCTGGTCTGAAGCGCTCTTGTCCTAAACCTGCTATGGGGCAGGAGGAGGGAACAGAGCAGCAGGAGGAGGACCAGCTTGACCACTGTGCAGTTCTCGAGGGCTCCCCAGGTCCCTCTGATCCCCCACACTCCTAGGAGGGCAGGATCGGGTGGGGCTGGGACATGGACAAATCCGTTCCACAGCGTTCCCGAGCGCTCTCAGAGAGCTCCAGAACGCTCCGAGAAGGCCGCGACTCTCGAGACATCCTCCAGGGCCGCCGGATCTCAGAGCTTCTCGAGGTATCCTCATCCGAGTTTCTCTTCGTCCTGGCCTCGCCTCGCAGGAAGAGGCTGCTTGCAAGAGCGCCCCCCGCAGCTGCACTGGGCAGGACCGTGTCGAGGCACTGGGTGTCCAGCTGGAGCGACCCCGACGGGCCGCCGGTCGCCACACACCGCGGGAGGGCAGGGGAGGCGGACAAGGAGGAGGAGGAGCAGCAGTAGCAGCAGCAAGATTACGTCGTGATGGTCGTGTCGTACCTCCTCTTACCTCCACTACACTCCTCATCCTCCTCCTCCTCCTCCTCCTCCTCCTCCTCCTCCTCGTCCTCCTCTTCGTCCTCCTCCTCCTCCTCCTCCTCCTCCTCCTCCTCCTCCTCCTCCTCCTCCTCCTCCTCCTCCTCCTCATCTTTGCGCGTGCGTGTACATGACTTCCCCGTGCTGCCGCCTCGGTCTAGTGCTGCTGGCCGCCGGCCGACCCCTATGGCTACACCGCGTCGCCGCGCGCCGTCGGACGCCGAAGAAGAGGACGCAGACATGATCGCGTCGTGAAAAAACAAAAAAAACTCTTCCTCCACTACACAGGAGGAGAAGGTATCGATACCGCTACCGCTGCCTCGTTTTCCCCGTTTGGGGGGCCTCCTGGGAGGCCCTCGCCGCCACCGGCCGCCAGATTCGTCTTCAAGTTCGTGTCAGAACCCACGCAGGGTGGTATCCGTACCTTGTGGTTTCCCCACCACCTCCCCAAGCTTCCGCCAAGGTCAGCGCTCGGCATCCCGCCGCAGGTGGCTGCGAAAGTGCTGCCGACCGTGCGAGACTCAGTGCACAGGCAAGCTGCGCATCGAGGCTGAGGACAGGACGTGGCGCGCCAGGAGCAGCGGCAGCAGCAAAACCAGCAAAGAGGAGGAGGAGGAGGAGAAAGAGGAGGAGGAGGATGACTAACGCCACAGCATCATGCTAAGGTTAGTCTAACGTTAAAAAAGGGAAGAGGAGAAGACCGCATCGGCCTTGTGCAAGCTCTTCAGGTGTGGAACCGACGTGTGTCCACCACTGCGCGCCGCCCTTACGCAGAGAGTGGCTCCCGATCTGTGCATCGCCGAAAACGCAGGGCAGCACGCACGGGAAAGAGTCGGCAGAAACCGGTTTCACAGCGGCCGCCCTTGGAACGCGCAACAGGATGCCATCGACCTGCCCGCGCAATGCCTTTTGCCCCAGCCGAGCCCAGATCAGCTTCGCAGGACACGAAACCCCGAAGGACTGGACGTCTGGGATCCAAATCAGCAAACTCCGAGAGGGTCGTTCTTCCGCCGGCTCCTGCCTGCACCTGATGGCAGTGCCCTGGTCGACCACGCCCGCTAGCTGCAGAGCTCGAATCTCTGTGAAACCTGGACGCTGAAGAGAGCGACGGCCACGATCGTCGGGGGCGGCTAAGAGGGGGGTGATGACTAGGGGGGGGGATATCATGGCGGGGGCCATGATAGTTCCCAGATTTCATGGCGAGTCTTCTTATTTCGTTACGTCCCTGGCCCCCCCGCTGGGCCGCGCACGTGCCGCCGGTCATGATTTGCCCCGTCCCTCTTGGACACCCCCCTCTTGGCCGCTCCCGACATCGCTTCGTCGCGGGCGCCGGCGGCACAGACCTGCGCGACTCGAGTCTGCTGCGCGGCCGCCACCTTTTACCGAGCCGAGCGGTCGCCCAGCTCGGCGCGGGACATGGTCAGCAAGCTTCTCAACCCCCCGCCGGAGATGCCATGCGCGGGGCGCCCAGGCAGCCCCGAGCGCACGCAGCAGACCCCGCTCGATATGCCGCGCCCGCGCTGCCGCTATCGCCGCGGCCGCCGTACCCCGGAGCCACCGGGCCAGGCTGGAGAGCAGTGGCTTCAGCGTCTCCATGGTGTCACGTGCCAGGGGGGCTGACTGCGCGTCGAGCTCCGTTCTGCCCTGCCGTGGCGTGGAGCGTGGCGTCGCACCATGCTCTCGTGCTGTCTTCCCACGCGGCGTCTAGGCACGGGCGGATGTTCGCAGCTGCGCGCCTGCGGGCTCACATTCGCAATCGCCGCCGTTGCCGCCATCATCAGCCAATCCCCTTTATCATTGACGCATGGACATCGACTTCGTCATGGTTGTCACCAGCATCTGCGCCGTCACGGGCATTGCCGTCGTCATAGTTATCATCGCCACCACCGTTCCTACTATCATCATCATTGCCGCCGTTGTGGTTATCGCGCCTGTCCGAATTACCGCCCCGTACCGAAGCTCTCGCGCGCCAGCGCGGCATTTGAGACGCGTTTGGAAGTTCTCATCGGTAAGAACCATCTCGGCCACATCAGCTGCGGCAAACCAGTTGGCCGGTCTGCTCGTGAGTTTGCGCGCGGCTGCAGAGATAAGCCAGCCAGTGCCAATGAACCGCCGCAGTCGTGGCCGCATTTATTATTTTTCAATGCGAATGGCGGATGGGAGGGTGGTGCGTTTGCACCAGCAGTGGATCTGACAGTCCGATCGTGGGGTCAACTAGTTGCAGCACTCAGATTGCCCTCCTAAATCTTGCGCCCCGGATTTCCCCGAACGGTGTTTGGGCGTAGGGTTGAGTCGGGCCTGTCCCTCTACAGGGGGAAGATTCCAGAATAGTCAAACAATAGTCTATTAATTGTCTGCGTATGTTTGAAAATGTTGGGGGGATCTTTAATTTTCCGCCCAACATCCGCATGTAGGGGGACACGCCCGATCTGAGCGTAGGGGCTCTTGTATCAGGAGGGGGAAAAAAAAACACAGACACAATGACTCGTCGACTCCCAAGAAAATATATGAAAATATCGGAAGTGGGGGGAAGACAAAAACCCAGAAGATGTGAGGAAATATGGGGAATCCTGTTATTTGTGTGCATTTATTTGTGTGTCCCAGGGCCCCTTCATTGTCAATGTAGTGCCAGGTTTTCGCCACGCTGCTGCCTCGCGGGCGCCCCGTGGGCACAGCGTTCTTTTTTTGGGGGGGTGGGCACGCCGGGCTGCCGCCACGGTGCCGCGCAGGGCCGCCCCGTGGGCGCATCGTGGGCGCCCCACGCTTGTTGGGATCGAACGCAGACCCCATGTGCGCAATGGGTTGACCCCCTCCTCCTGCACCTCCTCCTCCTCCTCCTCCTCCTCCTCCTCCTCCTTCTTCTCCTCCTCCTCCTCCACCTCCTCCTCCTCCTCCCCTCCTTCTCTCCTCCTCCCCTCGTCCTCCTCCTCCTCCTCTCCTTCTCCTCGCTTCCTCCTCCTCCTCCTCTCCACTCCTCCTCCTCTTCCTTCCCTCCTCCCCTCTCCTCCTCCTCCTGCAACCTCCTCCTCCTCCTCCTCCTCCTCCTCCTCCTCCTCCTCCTCCTCTCCTCCTTCTCCTGCTCCTGCTCCTCCCTCCTCCGCCTCTCCTCCTCCCCTCCTCCTCCTCCTCTCCTCTTCCCTCCTCCTCTCCTCCTCCTCCTCCTCCTCCTCCTCCTCCTCCTCCTCCCTCCTCCTCCGCCTCCTCCTCCTCTTCCTCCTCCTCCTCCTCCTCCCCCTCCGTTGCAATTGTGGCTCAAGGTTTTGAGTTCCCCTGTGGAACAAGTGGATACCGCTAGTCCGCGGCTAGTCATCAGTGTTTTCAACGCACCGCTGCGTGAGTCGCCAGACGACGCAGCACTCTCTTTCCCGCTCTGTTGCCTCTGCCCCAATGCTCAGGGGCTGGTCGATGGCGCCCTCGGGTCACCAGCAACACCGCATCCAGAATGCGCATGCGTGGCTCTGCAGGTGGTGCACGAACGAGAAGACGGGCGAGAGATGGTGGAACATGGCGGATTGCACGTTCTGCAAGTCGTGCAAGGTCGCCAAGGGCGCAGCTTACTTCGGCCCGCGCCCAGCAGGTGGCAATGGTGCGAACGCTGCGCAGGCACCACGGCCGCTCGCGGCCGAGCGCCGTGCTGCTGCCGAGGGAGAGCGTCTTAAGAAGGAGGCCGCCGCCAAAGACCGCGAGATCCAGGAGCTCAAAGAAGCAGTTCGTGGCGTCGCGGCAGTCGGGCGGCGGGGCCTCAGCGATGCAGGTCGACAGCCCTGGCGCCGACAAGCCTGCGGGCCCCGAGGCGGACAAGGCGGTGCTCGAGCGTCTCACCGCCGCCATTGGGGACGCCCCCGACGAGCTCTTGGCTTCGCACAAGGCCGCGATGGTGGCAGAGCAGGAGCGGCTCAGGGCTAAGATCTTGGCCGGTAAGCCGATCGGAGCCCGTCTTCACCTCCTCACCAATCGCTGCACGGCGCTCGAGAAGAAGAAGGAGCGCCAGCTGGCCGCCCTGGACAAGCTGCATGCGCAGATCCAGGAGATCCAGCTGGCCGTCGCCGATGCAGAGAAGGCGCTGCTGGAGACGTCCAAGGAGCTCGTGGCCGCCGAGGCGGACAGGCGCAGCGCCGCGGCGCTGGCGCCGCGCCCTGAGGCGGGCGTCTTCTCTCTCAAGGCGACGATCCCCGCCCTGGACCTGTCAGTCTCCGACGTGGGCAAGATGCTGGAGGCGGTCGGTGCGGACGCGTCTCTGGCCGAGTCTATCCAGGCTAACTTCGCGAAGTTGCGCGAGCTTGATGCTGCCGCAGCGGAGCGAGGACGCACACAGGAGAGAGCTGCCGCGGCTGAGCCGCCCACCAGCGCCGCGGCCAGCAGCGCTGGCAGCGCGCGTGCAGGAGCTGCCGACCTTGTCGAGCATCTTCCTGTCCCCGCTGATGACGGCGACCTGGACGAGCTGCAAGCTTTCTACCGCGTGGTCTTCGACGCCGAGCCCGCTGGCAGCGAGGAGGAGCTACGAGGGCACATCATGCGGTTTGGCGAGCAGCTCAGCAGGGTGTCGAAGAGGCCCCGCGTCGACGCGAAGTAAGCTGTGGGTGGGCGCAGCGCTCCTGCTGCATCTCGTCTGCCCCGCTGAGGCGATGCCGAGGTGTCATGGTGGGCGTGTGCTACCGGTCTACATGCTCCCGCAGGCGGCCGCCACCGCCGCGGGAGAAAGGGCGGGCCCTGGGGCAGGGGGCGCGGCCCTTGCTGCACCATGTCCTGCGTCCTCGGCGTCTTCGGAGCCTGGCGGCGCGGCTATGGCTGGGGCTTCCTGCGGGGCCGCACTCACCCGTGACGCTGAGGGCACGATCAGCCTGGGGCGCCTCAAGCGAGCGGGCAGAGAGGTCAGGAAGGCTCCAGCACATCATCGTGACGGCTCAGGCAGAACATCAGCGCCTCTGCTCCAGCGGGCGGCCGCCGCTGCCGCTGGAGATGGGGCGGACCCTGGGGCAGGGGACGCGGCCCCACCTTGGGCAGTGTCAGCAGGAGATGGGCGCGCGCCCAAGTTCTACCTGCCAGACTACATGTCCCCGAGGTCGGGTGCCGCGGTGCTCGAGTCGTTTGTGGCAGCTCCCCCGCCCAGTCCCTCGGCTGCATGCAGCCAGCGAGGGCTATCACGCGCAGTGTCAGGACGCAGTGAGGTTTCAGTCGGTTCGGGCAAGCCTGGTCCGATCCGCGGTGCGATTACAGCTAACACATCATCCCGCGGCCCGCTGTTAGATATGCTGAGCGCCCATGGGTTTGATAACTACCTGATCCTTGTGCAAGAGCACCACGCGAGAGACGACCGTTTTGCTGAGGTGCAGTCCAAGGCGGCAGCCAAAGGGTTTCGCGGTGCGCGGGCAGAGGCGATTGACACGGGCAGAGGAGGTTCATGCGGCGGCGTAGCCGTGATCGCGCCTGTCCGCGTTCTCGTCTCAGCCCCGCCCCAGCTCACCGACCGCGCGTTGATCCCAGGGCGTCTGGTGGCTGCACATGCCCACTGGGGCCGTGCAGGCGGCATCGTCTTGCTTTCCGTGCACCTAGTGGTCGGAGAGGGTCTCGGAGCCCAGAACCTGGAGATTGTGCAGACGGCCATCGACTATGCCAGGGAACACGGAGGGCGACCTGTTGGACGACTGGTTCCACGCTGCAGGAGCAATCCGTGTGGCGCCGCAGGCGCCGACGTGTGTGCAGTCGCTCCCTGGCACGGTGCGCGACTTCTTCGCATCGCTGTCCCTGGCCCATGCAGTGGGCGAGCTGGCCGTCGAGGAAGGGACCGATCTCTTCCCGCACAAACCTGTTCTTCTTGAGCTAGGCCCGGTGGAGAGAAGTATGTGTCGCCGCGTTCCTGATGAGCCACAGAAGCTTCACGTCGCGCCGAAGATTGGGCGTGCGAGGTTCCCTCCCGTCGACGAGCGGGCCCAGATCCAGAGTTTCATAAGCCACGCTGTTTCTGAAGATGATTTGGCTTCTTGTTGGGGCGCAGTTATCTCAGGCATTGAGGCCGAGCTCTGTGATCGCAACGACATCGTGAAGGCCTCGGAGCGACGGAAGTTTTGTGGGCGTGCTGGCCCACCTTCGTATTCGCGGAAGCCGTTGCCGAGACAAGCTGACCTTCAGCCGAAGGCGGAGCTTGCGTGGCGAGCTGTGGGTCGCTGGCTGCGACAATTGCGCTCGGTTCGTACCAAGTTGTGTCAGCTTGCCTCCGAGTATGCCTCTGACCCCACGGACGAGAGATTTGACCAGGTAGCCAAGCAGTTCTACTTCCTTCAGGGGTTTCTGAAGCGCATCCGCAAGTCGTCCCGGGTGCTGGAGGTGTCGACGGAGTCAATCAGGGAGTTTCTTGTGGACGTGCCCTCCAGCTTCTGCAGGGTTGAGTTTGACGACGCCGCACAGGGTTTCCTTGATGAGATCGAGGCTAAGCTGCTTGAGTTTGGCCACGCTGCACGTGCTGAATGGAAGAAGTGGGTCGAGCAGGCCTTTTGCCAAGGGTGCGGGCGTTGCTCGCAAGTTCTCCCGCGTCCGCGAGGTGCAGGAGCTGATTGCTGAGACGTCGCGGCCACAGCCTTTCCAGCAGGCGGACGACTGCCTCGCGGAGTGGGAGGCGATCTGGGAGATGCACAGGTGCGCTCGAGTGGGCCTTCCTGGAGATCACCATGCCTGGGAGGCTCTGCCTGAGATCTCGGTTGCCGACCTGCGTAGGGCGTGTGCCTCGTTCCCTAATAAGACAGCCGTGGGCCAGCTTGGGCTGAACCCCAGGCCCATGCTTGCCGTCTCTGACCAGTGCTTGCAAACTGTTGCTGATCTTTTCAAGGCCTGCGAGAGGCTTCTTGCGTGGCCCGAGTCTCGGATTCAAACCCGCTCGGTCCGTTTGCCCAAACCCACGGGGGGGGGCATCGGTTGATTGCGCTTTTGAACTCCATGCTCCGCCTCTGGGGGCGGGTGAGAAAACTTGTCTCCCAGGCCTGGGAGAAGGCGAACCGTGGCCCTTCCTTTTGGGGCCAAGGGCCAGGGGCTAGTGCGTCCGACGCCGCCTTTGACCATAATATGGAGGCGGAGGCTGCTACGGCGGTTGGGGAGTACTCTGTGAGCGTGTTCTTGGACATGTTGAAATGTTATGAACCTGTAATCGTGGAGCGACTGTTTGCCGAAGCCAGGCAGGTTGGATACCCGCCTCGGATGATGTGGATGGTCCTTGCATCCTATCGGCGTCCTGGGGTGATTCAGGCGTTCGGTTCGGTGTCGCGGCAGGTCGTGACCAATCAAGAAATCCTTGCTGGATGTAGCCACGCCAACACTATGATGCATGTGCCCCTCCACCGTGTGATCGTTAAGATGAGGGCCCTATACCCTACGGTCTGGCCCAGGGTCCTCATGGACGATTCCAGCTTTCAGTGGGTTGGTAAGCTGTTTAAGTTTAGTGAGATTCGACTCGCCGCGGTTAGATGGTATTCCAGCCAGGTCCTCAAGCTAGGTTTAATCCTCCAGGCGGCCAAGAGTGGGTATGTGGCTACGGCGGTGAGAGTGTCGTCGAACTTGTCGTCGTCTGCTCGTCTGGTGAAGCTCCGCAGCCACGCCCACATGCGAAACCTTGGCCATGAGGTTGTTTTTGCTTTTTTTTTTTTTCTTGAAGGCCTGTGAGGGCCCAAGAGCAGCTACGTCTCAAGAAGGAGCTGCGGCGTCGGGACAAGTTGGCATCCCTCCGTCGTGCTGCGTCCAGCAAGGTGGGTCTGTTGTGGCGCACTGGGCTCATGCCCGCTGGGTCGCACGGGGCTGGGGTCTCTGGGCTCACGGACCCGACCCTCGGGACCCTTCGAACCATGGCGGGAACCTCGGTGGGCGCGAAGCGGTCTGGGTCCTTGACGGCTTGGCTTGCAACTCAGCCCGACCCCTTTTACGACCCCATATTCGACGCGACGGTGCCGTTGGTCCAACGCGATGCAGCTGTAATTTGGGACTCAAGGTTCTCGCTAGGCCGACCCCAGAAAGCGTGGATGGCCGTCAAGAGTCGAATCCTCGAGCGGCCGACGTGGAAGTCATGCCGCGGCCCAATTAGTGCGGTGCTTCTCAGTCTACACCGTGTCGGCTGGTTGATGTCTGCTGCGCATGTGCTGGTGGACGACCAAGGTTTTCATATTGATTTGTTGCGAACCGCGCCGCTCGATGTGAAGGCACAGTTGCGGTCGGGGATCCAGAGGTGGCAAGCTAGGATGATGTTGCCCCACCTCCCCCAGGCTGGGTCCGAGCGTCTGTGGCCCCGAGGAGTGCGAATAGCAGTCCTCAAGATTCGTGACAATGCCCGTCGCGCAGCTCTCCGCTGCTTGATAGGCAACGCTGTATGGTCGCAAGAGAGAAAGTATGGGGCTGGCCTGAGCGACAGCAGCATGTGTAAGTTGTGTGGCAAGAATGATGTAGGCTCTCTTGGTCATCAGATATATGACTGCGACGCTGTGTTGAATCATCCAGCGCCCCAAAGCAACTGTTTCCCCGATGATATTCTTTTGCGCAGGTCTGAGCTCAGGGACACGGGTCGGTTCGAGGCGGGAATGCAGGTCTGGGATTCTCGAGGTTTTGCATGGCCTCCCGCCTGACCCCGTCACTCGTGACCCCGTCCCTGACAAGCTCCCTGTGTGCACGTGGGGTGAGACCGAAGCGCCATGGGGGCGGCGTGTCTATACCGACGGTTCGGGGCTGTGCAGCAGCAGTCCCGAACTTAGGCGGTGTGGATGGGCCGTGGTCGAGCTGGGCCCGCGTGGGCTCCCGATTTGGGCCCGCTTCGGGAGGTTGCCTGGCGGCGCCCAGACGGCGCCTCGGGCCGAGAGGTTTGCGGTTTTCCAGGCGCTTAGAGTCTGCCCCCTGAATGTGCATGTGGTGTCAGACCACCTGAGCGCAGTCTTGGAGGGGCAGTCGTGGGACCCTGGCCTGGCGGCCAGCGGAGGGCGTCACGCCGCTGTCTGGAGGCAGATCTTTCAGTTGTATGACCGCCCTGGCCCCAGGCCGTCGTTCGAATGGTCACCCGCTCACCGCGATTGGGATGTTGTGGTCGCGCCGGGTCCGAGGTCGAGGTGCAATTTTTTTTAGGGAACGCGTGGGCCGACTTTTTTTGCGCGTATCGGAGCGGACTCCCACGCGGCTGCTATGACGCTTGAGAAGGTCCAGAGTGCCGTGGTCACACAGACACGGCAGACTTTCGATGTTCTGTCCAGATTTGCTCAGAGTATTGGCGCGTGCGCCCAGGAGCTCTCGGCCCCGACTCCCGTGCTGCGGCGTGCGCGAGAGCGTGAAGGAGAGAGCGGGCTGGCGCTGCTCGAGCACGATCTGTACCACTTCCCGTCCTCTGGGGAGTGGCGGTGCAAGAGATGCAATCTGCATGCCAAGACCCCCTCCTCCCTCGCCCAGCTCCGTTCTGGCAGCCGCCGCCACTGTGGGCCTAGCGCGTTCCAGGCGTGGCAGGCGCAGGCGGTGTTCGCGACGCGAGATGAGGAGGGGGTGTTTTTTTTTCTTCGGCGCCTGCTGCGCTAGAGGCTGCTGCTCGGTCCCTGGGGTCCGTTTCTGACCTGGCCCAGGCGCCGCCGACTGAAACCCTCGCCGCTCGGTTTGTGCCCCTGGGCCACCAGATGAAGCAGGCGGGCCGCGTGGCCTTTTGTTCGTTGTGTTCACCCCACGTCATCCTCCCAGGAGGTCTGTTCCGTGGGCTTGAGAAGCGCTGTCTTGGTCGTTCCCTGCACCCGTCAACTCGGAGTTCCCAGGCGACCAAGATTAAGCACGCGTCTCGTGGATTCCACCCGCGCACGGGGAAGCCACTTGAACCGATTTAATGTGGGGGGGGGGGGCCTGTCGGGCGCCGCCTCTACCGCCTGGTCGGGGTGGGCGCCGCAAAAAAAAATGATGGCCCCCCCTCCCCCTTTCTGACCAGTGCCGCGCGTTCCTTCCCAGGCCCTGGTACGTCCCTCCCCCTGGAGGGCACTCCATATAGTAGCTGCCCGCGCCTCGGACCTCCCGTCGTGCCAGGTGGTGCGCGCCTCCTCCTCCTCCTCCTCCTCCTCCTCCTCCTCCTCCTCCTCCTCCTCCTCCTCCTCCTCCTCCCCCCTTCCTGCTGGCCAAGCAGGGTGGGGGGACCAGGCCCATCGGCCTCCTCGCCACTGCCGCGCGGCTGGTGGAGCGCGCGCACTCGCATCAGTTCCACGACTGGGAGCGGGAGATTCGACGGGACTACGACTTTGCGGCGCCAGGCGGCGGCTCAGAGGAAGCGATATGGCAGCAAATGTTGTTTGACGAAGGAGCCCAGCCTGGGGAGGCAACGGGCACGGCGGTCCTAGACCTGGAGAAGGCTTTCGAGCACGTCACGGTGCACCTGCTGTGGGCTGAGGCGCCCAAGCATCAGTTTCGGTTGCAGCTTTTGAAGCTCCTAATCTCGATATACACGGCCACGCGTTTTGCGTCGTTCCGCGGCGTGGTGTCGGCGCACTCGGTGGCCACATTCTCTGCGGACATTGCTGGCAGCAGCGAGGGCACGAGATGCCTCAAGCTAGCCATCTTGTCAGTCGTAGACGGGTTGACGCAAGAGCACCCTGCCATGCCGCTGAAGCTATTTGTCGACGATTTAAGCATTCAGGCGCGAGGTGCGGAGGCGGATGTCTCGGCCTCGCTGCATGCGGCCACGACCCAATATATAAAAGAAATGGAGGCCCGTGGGATCCCCGTCTCCAGGGTCCGACCAGACAAGCCAACGGGCAAGGGGTTCATCATGACAGCACAGCGCTCCTTGCGAGCCCGCATCAAAGGTTGGGCCCACAGCCTTGGACTGGAGGTCCAGGCCAGCAGCACGCAGCTCGGAGTTGACTCGGCGGGAGGAGGAGTTGTGTCGCTGCGCGCCAGAGCCGATGCCAGGATGGGGGGGGCGCTCGGCGGCGTAGAAGTAAGTTATCGAGTCTTGGTAAGCAGGGCGCGCGCACCTTTCAGGTCGCGCGCATGGGATTCCTCCCTTCTGTGCTGTATGGGGCGGTCTGCCTCGGAATGGACCCGACTCGGCTCACCCGAGCGAGGGCTCTCATGGCCTCAGCGCTGGGCGGGAACGCAATCGGCAAGGACCGACTGCTGCGCCTGTGGACGCCTCGCTGCGACCCCCTGGTCGACGCTTGCACGAAGCCACTGCTCAAATGGGCGGAGGCTATCTTTGCTGGCAGCCATGAGGAGCCCATGGCTGCGGGGTGGCGCAGAGCTGTTGCGGCGGCCGCTGCCGCCAAGCCTGGGAGCAACCCCTGGAGACAGATAAAAGGACCTGCCTCAGCCGTCTGGGCCACTCTCCGTCCCCTCTCGTGGACGCGGCCTGCCCCTCAAGTTTTCTCCGACCATCTCGGGCAGCAGTGGGGGTTGCGCAGGAAGGCACCACAGTGTCTCAAGAAGCTGGTCTGGTCCCGTCTTGAATTCGCGGTGATGACCTCTTGGGCGGCCTCCAGGGACCTCGGGATCACCCGTCCTTTCCTCGAGCCGATTCGGGCTCTCCTTCGACGAAAGGCTAACCGATCGCCGCAGAGGCGATCGGCTATCCTGGCCTACATGGGCCGCGATTTCTGGGCCCAAGAAAAAGTCTGGCGCGCGGGTTTCGGGGGCGACAGGTCCTGTCAAGCCTGTGGCGCTGAAGTCGGATGTCAGCACCATCGTTTCTGTCTGTCTTTGCGTTTCTGTCTTTGCCCAGACCGAGGAGCAGCGAGAGCCACCGTCGCCGAGGATGAGGGCCTCCAAGGGATCGTGCATCGTGCTGAATCCTCCTCCTCGGACTCCCCCCTCTTCTCCCGTGGGCTTCACGAGCACCCCTTGGAGGACCCGCTATCTGATTGGATTTCTGCCCTGGAGGAAGAAAATCCAGATTTTGCGAATCCCCCGCTGGTCTCAGGGCGGGCATACTCCGACGGATCGGCCAGAGGCCCACCAGGGCTAAAGAGTTTCGGTTGGGGCTACGTCTTCCTGGACCAGGACGGGGGGGCTGTCAAGGCCATGCGGGGTACCCTCCCAGGGCTGCGTAGCCTCGCCTCCGTCCTCCGTGCCGAATTGCATGGATTGCTCAAGCTGCTGGGTAGCGCTCACCCGCCTTTGAGGGTAGGGATCGACAATAGTTCAGTCATTCGAGGCCTCCGTAGGGGTCCCCGCTGGCGCTGCAGCCCTCGGAGGCCGCACGCCGACCTCTGGGGCAGGATCTGGGCCCTGCTCCAGGACACTTTCAGCCAGGAAGGTGATTTCCAGGCCGTCAAGGTAAAAGCCCACGCTCGCGGGCCAAAGGATGACTCGCACGAAAGCCGTCTCGATTTTCAAGGGAATCAATTGGCAGACAGCGAGGCCCGCCTTGGGGCCGACATGCAGGAGGTTCCCCCGTGGAAGGCCCAGACCTGGACCACCCGCTCGGCGGAGGTCCAGGCGGTGCTGTCTCTGGTGGCGGGGGTGACGGGGCTGACGGCGGATTTCGGGGATTCCACGGGGAGGCCTGCCGCGGGCTCCAGCGGAGCCCGCCGACGGCGGCAAGGGCCGCCCGAGGGGGCCCGCGCTCACGTCCTCCTCTGGAGGAGGGGGGCGTGGCGATGCGCGACGTGTGGCCGCAAGGCCTTCTCCAGCAAGACCAGGCGTGCGTTGGCGCGCAGGCCCTGCCAGGGTAAGATGAGGGTGGATCGTCGTTGGGGAGTCGGGCTGGGGCGGGGGGAGGGGGAAGGAGACATCTCTCCCGCCCTCCGCGGTGCGGCCCTGGGGCACGAGCTGCACCGCGTGGGCCAGTATACCTTCTGCGATCGGTGCGGTGTCTTCTCGAGCGAGAGGGGGTGCAAGCTCCTGGGTGCCTGCGGAGGGGCCCCAGCGAACCCCACCGCAGGGTACCGCCTCTCGCTCCTGCGCCGAGGCAGAAATCCTTACGCAGTGAAGGTCTCCCTGGAGGCGGTACCGCGCTCCCTGGTACAGGAGGAGTGCGCCGCCTTCTGGGAGTGCCTCATGGACTGAATCAGGATAGAGGCGGGATGGCACCCCGTGGCGGAGTGCCCGCCTATCCTACTCTCTTGTGGCGAGCTGGGGCGGGGACCGCCAGGCATCGTTCTTGCAGCAAAAAGCCTCCTCCTCCTGCCCCTCCCCCTCCCCCTCTTTTCACTCCTCCTCACCTTCCCTCTTCCTCCTCTGTCCTACCCTCCTCCTTCTTCTCCTCTTCATCTTCCTTCTCATCCTCCTCCTCCTCCTCCTCCTCGTGCTCCTCCTCCGCCTCCTCCTCCTCCTCCCCCTCCTCGTTCTCCCCCCATGCAATTGTCTCCTTCTCCTTCTCCGTGTTCTTGCTCCGTTCTGCTGCTCCCCAGAGGCCGGGGCCCCTGCCAGGGGACCCGCGCCAGGTGCGGCACGTATGCTCTGCGTGCGCCCAGTGTTCCGCGTGCTCCTGCCGCGCAGGGTGCGCCAGCCACTGGGAACGAGTAGGGGCTCTCGGGCCCGGCTTGGAGCCTTCTTGGCCGATTTGGGAGCCATGTGGAGGTTTCCAACACTCACCGATTGCGTTCCACTGCTCGCAAAGTGCCTACTCGCAAACGTCCGAAAAAAGCCCACGTTCGCCTCGATGTAATATATCGTGAATCCCCCACGGCGGATCCAGGCCATTTGCGAGTAGTGACTTTGGGAGTAGTGGAACGCGTTTGCCTAAAATCCCATCGAAAACAGAAAGGCGAAAATGCAGCAGCCATTGAAGTGTCAAACCAGTCGGTCGATCACCTGCGCCCATAAGGCAGGTGGGATCTGCTGGCACGCCAGCCGTCCCTGTACGATGCCAATACAGAATGGTCGCGGGGCGGCCGCGCATGCTCCAAATGTGGAGTGGTGGCCCTCATGGGGTTTGTATGATTCCGGGTTGGCCGCCGGCCGAGTAGGGGAGGGGGTTGTAGATTCATAGGGAACAGTGATGAACCCGTCCCCGAAGGGGAAGCAGGGGGCTGAAAGAGGAACATCCCTAGACCACCTACGCCCTGAGTGCTGGTAGGATTTAGGTTCGCGCGCATGTGCACAGCCATCAACATCCATCCAGCGGCGAAGAGGCACAGCACACAACACCCTGGGGAAACCAGACAATCACGACGGTACCAACACCGCGATACCAGCGATGCCACATGGTATACAACAGCCTTGGACAAGGAATAGTGGGATTCGCAGGAAGATTGTGTTATCAGCACCTCTGGAATTCACCGTGGAGGAACTCTGAGGCTGATCAGATGAGCGGCCACGGTCGCCCCGCGTAAGCCGCTAGCCGGACAGTCCTTCCTGGGGCCGTTGGACCCTTCGCACGTTGTTAGTTCGTTCCTCGCTTTCCTCCCCCTCCTCCTCCTCCTCCTCCTCCTCCTCCTCCTCCTCTTTCTCCTCCTCCTCCTCCTCCTCCTCCTCTTCTCCTCCTCCTCCTCCTCCTCCTCCTCCTCATTCTCCTCTCTTTCCTCCACTCTGCAGGCGTGCGCGTGGAGCAGCCCGCTGCAGGGCGCGCTGTGGTCCGTGCTGGCCGAGTTCCTTGGCCAGGGGGGGGGGGCGGGGGCGATGGAGGGGGGCGAAGGGCGGATCGGTACGATCGACACGGGTCGAGGACACGGCCACTTGCAGATTTGGTGCTCGCGCTGTCAATGATCTGCTCTCCCAGGGCTTCGCAGCGTCGTCCGCACCCTGCTTCTGCATGTCCGAGCTCCGCAGCTGCCTGCACGCCCTCCCGTGCTCAGCTGCGCTCTTGCTCTTATGGACACTGCGCAGGCCTGACGAAAGCTTGAGTGGTCCCTTCCAATGTGTGGGTCGAGGAAGCGCAAACATGGATCACACGCTGGTCGTTGAAAGCAGGTGTTTGGGGATGCCCTAGTCCCACCCTACTTTGGGCGCCTTCCCACTGCACGAGTCTGGCGCGTTCATTCCTCTTCCCACCTCTGCAGGGGGCGGGCGGGAAGCCAATCTATTTCCAACGCATTCCTACTCCATGCTTGTACCTACTTCTTCCCACCGACGGGTAAGGCGCACGGATTGGCGAAGGGCCCCGTCCCCATACGAACGAAATCGGCGCGCGCTGTCGCGACATGGGGCGGCACTGGCCTCACACGTCGGGGGCACCTTCCCCGAGCCAGGGACCTGGCGCCCACGCGCCCGATCCACGGACCGCTAACCCATGTCAGCGTGCGCCTGAGACATGGCTACGCAGAGAAATGGGCACGAGACGGGGTCGAGGGGGCCGAGGGGCGTGGCTTCGAGCGTCGCGGGTCGAGGTGCCCCCCCCCCAGCCCTCTTGCACTCGGTTGGTCGAGGGTCGAGGCGCCCCCTCCCCGGCCCTCCTTCCGTTGGCTCTTCCCTCGCGCTCCGTGGGGCTCTCTGCTGCTCCCCCCCCCAAGACTGGCAGCGGCTCCTGCCCGCTGGGAACAGGATTCGCTGTCGGCGTCGTCGCGGGCGTTGTCCGCTGGACTACAGTCGGGCCTTTGAAGAAGGAGCCCTTCTCGCTGCGGAGGGGCTCGATGGCCCTTGATTGTTGTACAGTTTGCCGTCGATTTTCCTGAGGTCTTCCATGGCAAATCGACTGTTTAACTCATGGGAAAAAGGGGCCTCGCTCCTTATTTTGGGTTCCTTATGTCAACGCCCGGACTGTCCAGTTAAGTCGGGCCTGTCCCTCTACAGGAGGAATATTCAGAAATAGTCAAACCGATCATATGGGGACGATGTTTCGATTATGGGTTCACCATGTTTGAGCATGTTTTGGCTATTTCTTATTTTTCTCAAAGAATCCGCCTCTAGAGGGACATGCCCGACCTAAGACTACAGGTCACTGGCCCAACAACGGCAACCGTCGGTTCTCGACGACATTCGCTGCTGGGTATCGCGCTCATTTTTCTCCATACCCATCTCGGGCGTCCAAAGCGGAGGGCGGCATCGAGGACGGGGGTGCCGGGCAGGGCTAGGACCAGGATGAATATGTCGCCCCAGAGCATTCCCCGGAGCGCTCTCAGAGCGTTCGGGGGCGCACCAGAGCGGCCCCGCGGCGTCCGATGCACCTCCCAGAACCGCCGCACCGCAAAGAACACCAAAGGTGTCTTGGTCCTGTCTTGTCTCGGCCCCTTGGCTTCGATTCCGAACGTTCTCTCACAGGTTTTCGGGGCACGGGGCGGTTGCCGTTGGCTGCGCCTGCGGGCGTCCCGGGGTGTGCAGGCGTCGTCCCGACCTGCAGCCTGAGGCCCGCGATGTGGCCCGAAGGATGCATGGAGCGTTCCTAAAACGAGCCTTGCCTTCGAGGATCGAAAGAGGTGCATCTCTTCCTCGGCGGAAAGCGGCGCCAGGCCGGCGGAAGGCGGCGGAAGGAAAATTAGGCCGCCTCCGCCGGCGGAAGACTGGCGGAAGGCGGCGGAAGTAAGAGAGGCGCCCCCAAGAGATGACAGTGCGCTTGGGCTCAGGGTTTCCGGAATCGGAGCGGAGGGTTCGGGTTAAGTCGGGCACGCTCATCTACAGGAGGAGCATTTAAAAATAGTCAAAAAATGGTCGGGGGGCGGATTCTTCTATTATGTTTAGATTTGTTCGAGCATGTTTGGAGTATGTTTGATTTTTCGTTCAGAATCCGCCTGTAGGGGGAAATGTAAAACAGGGCTAGGATCGGGATAAATCGCTCCAGAGCGTTCCGGAGCGCTCTCAGAGCGTTCCGGAACGCTCTGGAGCGGCCGCGGCGCCCAATGCATCTTCCAAACCCGCCGATTCTCAGAGATTTCGAGTTATTCCGATCCGATTTTGTCCCGATCTTCGCGTCGTTTTAACATGCCCGACCTGAGGTTCGGGGAGGGAGAGATCGGAGCATTGGTCGAGACAACGGCGGCCCTCTCTGGCGTCTCGAGTTCCCTTCGTGCTCCTTGAGGCTCCTCGCCGCCACGGCTGGCGCCGCTTCGAAAACCTGGTCGGGGGACGGGCCCCGGGAGGAGTCCGACAGCTCCTTTCCTCGCCTTGGCCCAGTGTTAAGTCGGGCGTGTCCCTCTACAGGAGGGATATTCAATAGTCAAAAAAATAGTCTGGGGACGATTTTTGCTATTTTTGAATATTTGTGGACTAAGTCTGTTTTATATTTCGTTCAAAATCCGCCTGTAGGAGGACATGCCCGACCTAATGCCCATCCCTGGGGCTGCTAGGGTGGAAGGTCAGCCCAGCGCTGCGCCCTATTCCGAAAGAACGCTGGCCCAGGCTAGGAGGCCACCTGCGAAGCCTACCCCACCACCTCACGATTTCGAAGGGGGGAGGTGGGGTTCACTTCGTCCGGGACCTCCCGAGGGAAGCGAACCCCACCTGCCCCCTTAGAACTCGTGGGGAGGTGGGGTACAATAGGGTTCGCCTGTGGCCTCCGACAGGTCTCCTGGGCGGACCGTCTCCTAAATCATCGGCTTCACTCGCGCCGGATCCCGTCCATTCCGGCACGCTCGGAGCTTAAGAGACGGGGGTCAACGCAAACGGGGGTCAGCCAGGGCACCGGATCCTGCAGGATCCTCCGAGGGAAGTGAACCCCACCTGCCCCCTTAGAAATCGTGGGGAGGCGGGGTACAATCGGGTTCGCCTGTGGCCTCCTACAGGTCTCCTGGGCGGACCGTCTCCTGAATCATCGGCTTCATTCGCGCCGGATCCCATCCGGCCCAGCACGCGCGGCCCGCTGGCCCCCGCCCCTCCCACATCTGGGGCAGGAGGCCGCGGGGGACGGGGCGGGGATCGCGCACTGCCTTCGGCTTTCGCTTGCCTCTCGGAGGCGACGATGGGGGCTAATTAATAGCCCAAGGGGGGAGCACTACGTGTATCCAGGGGTGCCGATGATCTATGTCGTCGACAAGGCTCCCGGGCGAATGCGTGTAATGCCCGCCCCATGGGCTCTCCGCCCCTGTCGTCGCCGTCGAGTCTTTGATGCCCGATGCTTCTGCCTATAGCCCTCGCGCTGGACCTGCTGCGGCCCCTCGGCGAGAGCTGCAGGGCCCTCGGGTGGCTGGCCAGTGATGGAGCGGGCTCCACGAAAGAACCACAGGCCTTATGATGTCCCACCCTACTTTAGCCCGGATCACCAGAAAGAATCTCGAGCACCAAGAAAGCACCGAAACTCGAAGGTTTTCACGTGTCAGGCCTTGGGAGACATTCGTTCGACACTGTTTCGCAGCAAAAAAGCACCGAACTCGAAGGTTTTCACGTGTCGGGCCTTGGGAGACACTCGTTCGACACTATTTCGACACTATTTCGACACTTTTCCGGGTGCTCGAACTTATTGATGGGATGCGGTGCTTAAGTACGATGGGAGCAAAATAACACAGGCCTACCAGTCATGCGTTCTGGGCTCGCTGCTTGACCAAAAAGTGTTCCCGCGAGGTACGGGCCACCCTTATCTGTGACCCATTGCGAGCGGGTCCGCTCGACGCTGGCGTACAGGACACCCCCGCCGGGATCCACCTGGCGGCAGACATGCCTTGAATTCTGAGCCCCAGCCCGCGACCAAGAAGCCTGAGCTGCAGGGGTGGGGCTTTCACACGTGGTTGTCCATCTCGGGTTAGGTCGGGCAGGTCCCCCTACAAGCAAATTCTGGACGAACGAAAAATAGTCCAATCGAATGCCAAAATTATTTTCGAACATTAGCCCCAAAACGTCCCCATGTTTTTACTATTTTGGGATCTTCCCCCTGCAGAGGGACGTGCCCGACTGAAACCTCGGGGGCGCGAAGATCCGTGGCCCCGCTTCGCGGTCTGGGCCGCAGCGCGGCCCTTCCCCGGTGCCGCCCGAGAGCGCCCGAGGACCGTCGGGCAGGTCGTTCGGCACGCCCAAGAGAAGGAGTCGGCGGCCTGCCGGCAGGTGCCCCACTGGGGTGCCTTCTGGATCCGACGCAGGCAGCTATGCACCACCACCGTGCCAGGCCGGGGCCGTCCCGGGCCCCAGGATGCTGCGCCGAGCCTCCTGGCCTCGGCCAGGAGGGCGTATACACCGTGCCAGGGCCAGGACGGTTCTGGCTTGGCACGGTGGTGGTGTACAGATGCCTTCTGCGCATGATCCCCTGATGGCCCCAGGGGCCCACGGAAGCTCTGGGGTACCCCAGGGCCCTCAAAGATCGACGGAGCACGTGCCCCATGCGTTCTTATCTTATGTCTTATCGCATGCGTCCATTGTGTTTCGGCCGTGCGCAGAGTCGCTGTATTTCGGCCACGCGCAGAAGGAGGGCAGGGGGAGGGGGGAAGGCTTCCTAGAAGCACCCCTGCTTCTGAGAAGGCGCGGGCCTGATCTGTAGATCCAGGGTCAGCGCCTTCTCAGAAGCAGGCTCCTCCCAAGAAGCCGTCCCCCCCCCCTCCCCCTGTCCCCCTTCTGCGCGCCGTCGAGTATTCCTGTGCTCGTGCATCGCGCGGCGGGGCGCACGAAGAGGGCGGCGGAGGCCCAGGAGGCGCAGGCAAGTGCGGGAGGCTAGTCGGGCTGACACGTCTGGGCGGGGGAGGCGGCGAGGAGGGCGCGTTGCCCGCGGTCCTCGACCTGGCGGGCGACGCCGCGCTGATGCAGCGCGTCGTCGCCAGCGTGGCGGACGAGGCGCACGGGGGAGCTGCGGGGCCAGCGCAGGATGTGGTGCTGCGCTGTGGCGCCACAGGTTTGCGTGCTGCCCGCAGTGGTGCTGGTGTTGACACAGTGGGTGTGGCAGCGAAGGCGCGGAGATGGCGACGGCGATGCAACTGCGCTGCTGCTTCTGCCTGTGCTGGCGATGACGACCGGCATTGACACGCAGGAGCCGAAGCTACCATGGCGGCTGATCCAGAACACGTGCTCTCTCCCATGCGCTTTGTGTGCGCGCAGCGTGATGGAAGCCGGGTGTCGCCGAAGCGAGTCTGATCGAGGTCACACGTGCGCGAGGGTGATGTTTACGGAGGGTGTGCGTGCTGTGTCCTGAACTTTCTCGCGTGACTCAAGCAGGCAGCGTGTCGTGAGGTTCTCTATTCCTTCCGCTTTCCCGCTCCCTTCCTCCTCCTCCTCCTCCTCCTCCTGCTCCTCCTCCTCCTCCTCATCTTCCTCCTCCTCCATCTTCCTCTTTCCTCTGCCGCCCGCGGTCGGCAGCGCCTCGTCCATGACAGCCGCCAGTATGCTCAGCCCGGTCAGTGTGGACGGCCAGCGCCCGTCGGCAACCCATGCTGAACATGGCTTTTGCTTATGGGGCATTTGCGTGGGGCACCAGCACTTGCACCGAAGGGGCCCCTGTTCGCATCCGAGGCAGTCGCCTTGCAGTGTCGTGGACCTCTCGGAGAAAGAGGAGAACAACTGACAACAACACTTGCCTAGACGGGTGTCTAAGCGTGGGCCCTAAAGAGTGAGCTCTTGCGCTCTGGATGTGCAAATTGTGTGGTGCATACAATGCGTGACACGCTATGTGGTGTAAGCCATGTGTTGCAGCCTGTGGGGCCCAACATGATGCAACCCATGTGGTGCACACCATGTAGTGCACGCTATGTGGTGCAAGATATGGGGTGCAATCTGTGTTATCTTGCTTTACAAGGTGCAACTCACGACTGCAATATATGGGGTGCGATCTGCGTTTGCATCCAGAAGCGTCCGCCAACGCACGAGGCGCCCACGAGGCTCGATCCGCCTCCGGAGCCGTCCAGCCCCCCCGACCAGTACCCCTCCCTGCGTTTTTCCATTGCGTCCGCCTCCACAGTCTCCGGCGCACCCAGATGCTCCAGGGACTCCGTTTTGCATCCCTCCTCCTCCTCCGAACCTGGGGAGCCAAGCCCAATTGCTGTTAAATCATAAGCCCGTCAGTGCAAGCACTGCTTGTGGAGCAACTCTTCCAGAGGTCCGCGCAGATTTCTTGGGTCGGCGCCGCGCACCTCCCCCGGCGCGCGCAGGGGCCCCGCAAGGGCCGCGGGAGCCCGAAAGCGGCGAAAAGCCTCCTTCGCTAAGTCGGGCGTGTCCCTCCACAGGAGGAATTTTCAAAACTAGTCAGAACATAGTCTTGACAATGTTTTACTTGTCAGTAATGTTTTGATGATATTTTTGCTTGTCGTCCAAAATCCGCCTGTAGGGGGACATGCCCGACCTGACTCTGGTGCGGGGGGGCCACAGGGGCCCCCCCCCCGCACTTGCCTGCGCGCTCGGACTCGGCCGCCCCGCGGCCCCCTCCAGCTGCGCACCCGCGGTCGCTCTTGTGCAGGGTCCTGGCCGACTCCGGGGCCCGTCTTGGGTCGGGCACGTCCCCCCTACAGGCGGGGCCCTGAAGAAGGCACCCTTCTCGTTGGGGAGGGGCTCGGTGTTCCTTGATCGTTCTGCAGTTTGCCTTCGGTTCTCCTGAGGTGTAATAAGGAAAATCGAAGTTCAACCTATGGGAGAAATGGGCCTCATTCCTTATTTGGATTTCCTTAGGTCAACGCCCCCACTGTACAGGCGGATTTTGGAAGAAAAGTGAAAAATAGCCCAGACATGCCCCCAGCAGATGGTCAAACAATAGTCCGAACACCGTCCCCTGATTATCTTTGAACGCTATTTTTGAATTCTCGCCCTGTAGAGGGACGTGCCCGACTCCAGGGCTCCCTCGCCCTCAGGGCCCCAGACGCCCGACCTCGTGCTCTGTCCACCCCTCCCCGTGGGCCAGCGTTTCGCCCTGCGCGTCGTTGCTTGCCGGCCTTTCCGGCCCGGCGGGGGGCCTCCTAGAGGCAAGACGTGGCAGCACGACAGACAACAGGCCGCCGTGGCTTCAAACAACGGCGCGTCGCCGCGCCGCTCGTTCCGACGCGCGGCCCTGCGCCTTGGGGAGGGCGCCGCGGCCACCAGGGCAAACGCCTCCTCGGGCGCTGTGGGCTCGCCGTGGGTTTGCCGCGATGCCGGCTGTACCTCCTTGGGGCGCGGGGCGCAGGGTTTATCGTGCGTTTGCCGCGGTGTCGGCGTCGCCCACTTGGGCGCGTCGAGGACAAGCGGCGCGGCGACATAACATCTTTTGTTACTTCTTCGCGACGCGAGGATCGAATGGCCTTCGGCCCATCCCGTCACCGTGCCCGGGTTGTTGGTACGAAGCCTAGTGGATGTGCGCTGGGACCTCGCGGGAGGCCTCCCGGGGGCTTCCTGGAGGCAGCTTGTAGGCCTCTCGGGAGCCGTTTTTGAGTGGGGGCCTCCTTGCGTCCTTGCGGCCTTGGGTGAGGCCTCTTCCAGGCCTCTTGGGGGCCGCTTCTGGTGGGGCCTCTTCGTTTGTGACTTCTCTGTCGCGGCTCGAGGACCTCGGGGCCCCGCTACCCTCACGCTGGCCGCGCGTGCGCGCGCCAGCCGGACGTGGGCTGCATGGGCTTCCTGTGGGGCCTCTTCTTGGCCTCTTGGGGGCCGCTTCTGGTGGGGCTTCTTCGTCTGCGACTTCCCTGTCGCGGCGCGAGGATCTCGGGGCCCCGCTGCCCTCCCGCCGGCCGCGCGTGCGCGCGCCAGCCGGACGTGGGCTGCATGGGCTTCGTGCGCCTGCTGTGCCGCGGCCCGCGCGCCGCCGCCCCGCCCCCGCGGCCTTTTTTTTGTTTGTCGGCAGCGGCGGCGGCCACGGTCCCTCCTCGAGGTCTCGTTAAGTCGGGCGTGTCCCTCTACACAGGGGGAATGTTCCAAAACAGTACAAAATACTCTGGGGACGATTTTTCGACCCTCTTTGGCTATTGTTGTATCCGCCTGTAGGGGGGGGCGTGCCCGACCGAAAGGTTCCTTGGCATCGCTCGGACGCGTGCGTTCTTTTTGTTGGGGGGGGGCCGTCGAGGAGCATCCTGGATCGTCTCGTGGAAGAGGCACGCACGGCACCGAAGAAGTGCAACGGGGCATGGGCGCCCGAGCCGCGGCGAGGTGCGAGGCCGGGGGTCCCCGTCCGCCCGCTGCTGTCGGCGGCGAGCGATGGGGGGGGAAGCGAGAAGAGGGGGGCCCTCTCAGAAGGCCGCGGGGCTTCTCGAGAGGCTCTCGCGCCTTCTGAGAAGTTGACGTGCTTCCGGGGAAGGCGTGGAGAACTGATCAGCAGGCCAGGGGGGTTCTGAGCCTTCTGAGGAGGCCCACCCCGTTTCATTTCCCCCCTCGCTCGCCGCCGATCGAAGTTCGAGGTTGGAGGACCCAGTCCACCTGCTTCTAGAAAGTAGCGAGCACCCACGCCACATTCATCTGTCCGCGCCTCCCCCTCCCCCCTATGTTCAGAAGTTTGCGGTGGGTCTGATGAGTTGCACTTCGACCGCAGGGTCCTCCACGCGTGCCAACTTTGAGTTTGGGGGTGGGAGTGTTCGGTAATTGTTGCCCCCTACCGAATCTCGGCTTTGGGCCAAATGCCGTTCTCACGTTCCAGCCGCAAGCGTCTACGGACACATCGGGTGTCGCTACGTCTGAAGATGCAGCCTGGGTGGATGCGTCACAGACCAGGCGGCCGTTGCGTTCGTCGCAGCACAGGGTCGGAGAAAGGGTCGATCCGTCTGCGGCACTTCCCTGTTCTGGAGCAGGTCCCACATGGTTACTCCAAGCTCGAGGTTCGAGGACAAGAGGTTCGGGGGCCTTTTTGTGGCCTTTCTCGGGGCCAAGTTCGAGGTTCGAGGACAAGAGGTTCGGGGGCCAAGTTCGAGGTTCGAGGGCAAGAGGTTCGGGGGCCTCTCTGTGGCCTTCCCGGGGGGCTCTCTCGTCGCCACGGCCCGTTTCCCCGCGCGATCCTGCCCAGGGCGCGCCCCGAGGAGCGTCGATGCTCGACGTCGCTGCCGATGTGTCCCTGTCTGGGCCCGGGGGTCAGGAGGAGGAGGAGGAGGAGGAGCAGGAGGAGGAGGAGGAGCAGGAGGAGGAGGAGGATAGGAGGAGGAGGGAGGAGGAGGAGGAGGAGGAGAGGAGGAGGAGGAGAGGAGGGAGGCGGAGGGGGAGGAGGAGGAGCAGGAGGAGGAGGAGGAGGAGGAGGAGGAGGAGTTGTCCGACCCCCCGCGCCCGGACGTCTGGCGCCTCGAAAAAGGGCGTGGCGGGCCGTCGGTCGCCCGAGACCGGCCTCGCGCTTCGTGGCCCTCAGGGGGAGGTGCTTGGGACGAAGAGCTGGCCTTAAGTCGGGAGGAGAAGAAGAGGGGAGGAGGAGTGATGAGGGTAGTTGAAGTGGATGGGAGGTAGGGAAACTGAATAACGCTGGTGAAGGGTCTGGGGATGGGGGTAGAGACATATGAAGAAGATCCGCTGAAGACGACTGTACTTCTAGTACGATGAGGACGACGGCGATGACGATGTCAGCAGGACGAGCACGAAGAGGAGGGTCGGATCAGAATGAGCAGCCGGACCCAAACATCTGACAGAGGTCTGGACCCCCTGCTTTTCCGGGGACCTGCGTTTCACCTCGAGCCGCTTTCAGACGATCTCGGGGCCTGGGTACCGGGCCCCCGGGGGCCGCAGACTGCCACCGATTACCAGTCGTTGTTGTCTTCGCTGCGCGAGAAAGTCCAGCTTTCGGGCCACAGCTCGGCTGCGCGAGAAAGTCCGGCTGCGCGAGAAAGTCCGGCTGCGCGAGAAAGTCCGGCTGCGCGAGAAAGTCCGGCGGCCGATCGGGAAGATCTGGACCCCCCTGCAGACGAGGCGCAGTTGCTGGACGGCCTCCGGGGGCGAAGGGGAAAGCCTCGGGGTCCAGCCGAAGCCCCTCGGGGCACCTCCCCTCCACGGCGCGCGCGCGGGCGCTGCCGCGGTGAGACGCCGCGGCGACGGCGAGAGGGGCAGGCGCCCCGTGAGAGCGCGAGGCGGAAGACGCAGAACACACTCGGAGGGACGCGCGAGCTTGTTGGGCCGGCGCGCTCGGGCGCCGACGCGCGGGGCGGAGGGTGAACGACGGGGGAAGCCCCTGCAGGAGAGCAAACGAGCGGCGCGAACAGGAAGGCACTCGGAGGTGAGCGCGGGTTTCACGGCAGTCGCCGATAGGATCAAGTCGGGCGTGTCCCTCTACAGGAGGAATATCAAAAAATAGCTCAAAATCAATCGGGGGACGATTCTTCAACTATTTTTGCATATTTTTGAAAACAAAGTTATGTTTTGACTATATTTTAATTTTCGTCCAAAATCCGCCTGTATGGGGACATGCCCGATCTAACATTATGATTTTGTTCAGTCCAAGGCCCCAGGGGCCGGGGGGGGGAGGGATCAACGGAGGGCTGAAGACGGGGGGCACTTGTTTCAAGTCGGGCGTGTCCCTCTACGGGAGAAAAACTCAAACATAGCTTGTTTTGTTTAAAAAAAGTAAGGGGGCGATTGCTCTATTACTTTTTGAGTATTATTGTACATCCTCTGCGTCTGTTTTATTTTTTCGTCCAAAATCCGCCTGCGGGGGGGACACGCCCGACCTAGCACCTGTTGTGCACGGCGGGGGCCCCGCGGGGCCCCCTGCGGCCCAAAAGGGGCACGAACGGTGCACGTGCCTTCGCCCCCTGCTCTGTCGCCCCCCCCCCCGCGGCTAGGCAACCCCCAAGAAAGGGGTTCCCGAGGACGAAAGGTGCACGTGCCTTCGCCCCCGTTCTCTGTCCCCCCAAGAAGGGGGCCCCCGAGGACAAAAAGTGCACGTGCCTTCGTCCCCTGCTCTGTCGCCCCCCCAGGCTGGGCAGCCCCCAAGATAAGGGGCCCCCGATGGCCGAGGTCGAGGAAGAAGCCCGCTGGCTGAAAAGAAGGGCTGCCCCTGGGCCTCCCAGATGGGGTCCGAGCAGATGGGGTCGGAGGATCGAGCCGCATCGCTGATGCATCGGCGATGCGGCTCGATATGGAGCCCGATTTTCTTCACGCCGGCGGCGCCGATGCGTCGCCGACGTCGCCGATGCATCGGCGATGCGGCGCGATCCTCCGACCCCATCTGCTTGGACGCCATCTGGGAGGCCTCTATTGCTGAGGCCTTACAACCGGTGCCGCCGACCCTGGACGACGACTGCCCCCACGATGGAAGGGGGCATTCGTGAGGGTCGGGATCAGGTGCTCCCAAGAGTGTCCAGGAGGCTACACGAGGCCTCCAAGAAGTGCCCGAGAACCCCCGCGAATTTTTCGGGGTTCGGGGGTGGCGTGGGGGCCTTTTGGGTGCCTCCTGGGGCTAGCAGGCCTCTATTTCTGGAGTCGCCGATGCACCGGCGATGTGTCGCCGATGCGTCGGCGATGCGGCGCGATCCTCCGATCCCATCTGCTCGGACCCCATCTACCAGGAGGCCTCTACTCAGGAGGCTTCGGCCACTCGTCCAACCCTCAAGAAGAGGGATGACGTCACCGGGTACGGCCTCCTGGGGGCCTCTCCCGGGGGGCCCTTTCGGCGGCCTCTTCTTGGGCCTCCTGCCCGTAGATCCGACGTCGCGATTTTTTCAATGCGGGGTCCCCGGAAGTCTCGGCCCCTTCCCGGGGACCGGTTTTTCATCCTGAGTCGTTTTTCGACGGTCCTGGGGCCCGTCGAGGGCCCCCAGAGGCCGAGAGTTGAGACAAGCCTCCGTCTTGAGTTTTCCAATGCGTTGGATCTCTGGGGTGGGGGCCTCGCCGGGCCGCTTGAGAGACTCCCGGGCGCCCGCGCTTCGTGCCTCGGCGTGTGCCCCGGGGGGGGCCGCCTCCCCCGGGGGGGGCCGCCCCCCCCCCGCGAGCGGCGGCTCGCGGCGCCTCGCCCGCGCGCGCCGCTCCTGCGGCGGAGGCCTGCAGAAGCTCGCGGGCTCCGCGCCGGAGGCGGGCGCCTTGCGCCTGCCCTGGGCCCTTCAGTGGCAGAGGGGGGTGAGAGAGAGGAGGAGAGGGAGGGGGGAGGAGAGGGAGGGGGGAGAGGGAGGGAGGGAGGGGGGAGAGGGAGGGGGAGAGGGAGCGAGGGAGGGAGGGAGGGAGGGAGGAAGGGCGAGCGAGTGGGCGGGCGGGCGGGCGGACGGGCGGGCGGGCTGGCGGGAGGAGGAGGAGGAGGACGAGGAGGAGGAGGAGGAGGAGGAGGAGGATGAGGAGGAGGAGGATGTGGATGTGGCTGGATGTGGCTGCTAGGTCTAAGCTCCGGGGGAAAGCACGAAGCCCGACGCCTCACGCTTTGCAAACCCTACTTGCAAAGGCGCTCATGTTGAACGGCCTCTTTCCCATATAACGAATCAGTCTACCCTTGGCCGTTCTCGTTCGCGATGGTGTATACCGCCTTCACAATACCGCCCCTTCACACTGACCATCAGAAAGAGCTTGGCCTAAAGCACGGCTGACACCCCAGACAGTCCTTGCTCCCGCTGCCTGTCTTCCCCTTCTCGCACGAGTTGATTCCAGCGTTGTAGCTAGGAGATGACTCGCTCGAGACTCTGGCTCCAGCTTCCTTCCACGTTCTGGCAGTGTTGGCGGAGCCGACCAGCTTTCGTCCGCGCCCCGCCGCAGCGACGAGGGAGGGGATCGCCATCGGGCTCTACCTTCACCCCCCGCTTCTCGCAACCGTAATCTCCCGGCGCCAGCGTCCGCTGCCGCTGCCTGCCCCTAGCGTTGCTGACCGTGGCCCGCCCGCACTTTTGGGCTCCGTCTTCGCCTCCAGCTTCTCCACACTCGTCGGATGTAGCTGGTGGCAGCGGGCTCGTCCTTCGACTTGCCTGTCCACGTCGGGCGCCGACTCCGCCTCCAACCTCCCGCGACCCGTCGGGTGTAGCTGATGGCATCGGGCTCGACCTTCGACACGCATGCCCTGACCCCAGCACTGCAGCTGATGACATCAGGCTCGTCCTTCGCCCCTCGTGCCCCAGACATCCCCCGCAGCGCCAGCGTATGCTGCCACGGCGCGCCCCCTTTCTCGCACGGACTGCTCCCAGCGTTGTGCTGATCGTTGCCCACCCGCGCGTTTCGCTCAGCGCCAGCAGTGGCTGCCACTGTGCGCACCCCCTTGCTCGCACGGGCTGTTCCCAGCGTTGCTGATCGTGGCCCGCCCGCACTTTCCTCTCAGCGCCAGCTTCGGCTGCCACTGCGCGCCCCCTTGCTTGCACGGGCTGCTCCCAGCGTTGATGCTGATCATGGCCCACCCGCACTTCCCTCGTAGTGCCAGCGTCTGCCCCCACTGCCTGCCGCCAGCCTGCGGCAATTCAGCCAGAGCCTGCCACTGCTCGCCCTTCCCGCACGCGCTGATTCCAATGCTGTAGCTGAGGACGTCGGCCTGCAGCTTCACCTCCTTGTCCCGGAACCCAGTCAAACCCTGCTGCCTTGTCCCGCCCTTCTCGCACGCGCTGCTTTCAGCGCTGTAGTTGAAGGCGTCGGCCATCGCCTGCTCGCACGCGCTGATACCAGCGCTGTAGCTGAGGGCGTTGGCCTCCAGCATCGCCTCCGTTTCCCGGAGCCCAGCCAGAGCCTGCTGCCATTGCCCGTCCTTCTCACACGCGCTGATCTCGGCGCTGCAGCTGAGGACGTCGGGCCGTATTCCTACTCTCGCCCGCTCGCGGAGTCGGCCCAGAGGCTGCTGCCACGTGTCGCACGTCGCGCACACGCTGATCCCAGCAGAGTAGCTGGTGAAGGCGTTGGGCCCCTGCGCTTCGATGCCAGCGCGCTGTGAGGCATCACCAGTGCGCGCCAGGAGGAGGAGGAGGAGGAGGAGGAAGAAGAGGAGGAGGGGATGCGAGAGAGGCGAGGACGAAAGGCAGGGAAGACATCCTGGCGCCTCTGCATGCGCCTCTTTACTGCTACGCCACGGCTGGCGGAGCCGCTTCTTGACGGCACCATGCTTCTTGATGGCTGGCGGCTTCCCGAAGCACCATCGCAGGCCCACGCAGGGAGGGGCCGCGGAGGAGGAGAGGAGAAGGAGGATGAGGTTTGGTGCAAACCCCAGAAACATCAGCGATGTTGCAATGAGCCCTCCCTCTTCATGGGTCCATACCAGAATTTGTTTTCAGTGTGGGAAGCTCCCCATTTGAAGTCAATCGCCTGAGAATTCGCAATCGCGCCAAAACGCTATTCCTTGGACTTCAGCGCCGCGAATGAACGTGACTGTTGCTTCCTGTCAATCTTAAACCGTGCCGGAACATCCTTGGGACTTCAACACCGCGAGTGGGAGGAGGAAGAAGAAGAGGATGATGATGAGGAGGAGGAGGAGGAAAAGAAGAGAAGAGGAACAGCAGGAGGAGAGGGGAGAGAGGAGCATGAGAGAGGCGAGAGGAGAGATGAGAAAGGAGAGAGGAACATGATGATGCTGATGATGGTGGTGGTGATGATGATGATTATCATAACGATGATGGTGATGATGATGATGATGAGGAGGAGGAGGAGGAATAGTCAGAGAGGAGGAGGAGGACGAGGAGGAGGAGGACGAGGAGGAGGAGGAGGAGGAGGAGGAGGTGGAGGAGGAGGAGGAGGAGGTGGAGGAGAAACGATGGTGAGAAGAGGCGGGAAGGGAGGAGAAGAGAGGATGAGAGGAGGAGGGAGGAGCAGGAGAGATGGCACCGATGCGGACAGAGTCTGCCCTGGGCGCCCCGCGGCAAGCGAATGGTGCGCCGCGCCCCGATGGCTGGGGCGCAGCATCCGGAGCGAGGGGGCGTCCCCTGGGGACGGCTGCGCTGAGGCGACCCTTGGCGCGCGCCTACAGGCGCACGACGCGCTGAGATGGCAGAGGCCCCTCAGCGGCGCGCGGCGCACCACCACTGGGGGTCTTAGCTGCCTCGATACGCTCGTTTTGGGACGCAAGACGCTCGATTTGCTGCCGCGCTGCCGCGCTGTGCCGAGGCTCTTGGACTTGCGCGCGCGGCCTCCTCGCCTGCCGCTGCCTGCTCCTCCTCCTCCTCCTCCTCCTCCTCCTCCTCCTCCTCCTCCTCCCCTCCCCCCCGCTGCTGCTCATCCTCGGTGCTCCCCCCCCGCTGCTCCTCATCCTCGGCGCTGCTCTCAAAGCGTCCGCGTCAATGCGCTGCGTGTTGGCTCGACACGTGTTGGCCCACGCTTTGGCAAACGTGTGGGGCCAGACCAACGTTTCTAGTCTACGTGTTGAGCTCTGTATCAATACGCTGCGTGTTGCGTGCTGCATAACGGGGCAGCTAAGCTGGGGACCCACTGGGGAAGGAGACCTGGGGGGGCAGGGTGGCGCCCCGTGGCGGAACGCCTCCCCCAGAGATCCGACGCTCCAACAAAAGTTGCAGCCGCGGGTCTGGGGCCGTCTTCGGCCTCCGGGGGCCCTCGCCGGGCCTCGGGGCCGTCAAATAATTTCCCAGGACAAAAAAATGGCCCCTGGGAAGTGGCCCAGACCTCCGTCAGTGCTCAAGAGACGGGGGTCAACGCAAACGGGGGTCAGCCAGAGCGCACGATCTTGCAGGATCCTGCGGGGTCAGGGTTGCATTGACCCGGGCTTGGGTGCAGGATCATGCAGGATCTTGCAGGGTTTTTCGTATTAACCCGGGTTTGGGTGCAGGATCTTTCGGGATCCTGCAAGATTCTGCAAGGCCTGATTGATCCAGTTTGGATTGACCCAGGTCAGCAGATCCCCGACTGTGGCCCACGAATCGAAAAAATTGGAGCGGTCAGATGTTTGGATCACCCGGCATACCATGCGGAGGGTGGTCGGCGTTGGGCGTCGCGGGCCAGGCAGGCGCCACCAGTCATGGCCCACACGCTAGGTTGCAGTGCTTCGCGCAGCGTCGCTGCAGCTCGCGCCAGCGTCAAAGCAATCAGCGCGGCTACAGCTGGCGCAGATGCTTGACCCTGTGATTTGATGATTGCCCAAGGCCCGTTCGCATTGTGCGCGCTCTCTTTCAAGCAAAACCCTCTCCTCCTCCTCCTCCTCCTCCTCCTCCTCCTCCTCCTCCTCCTCCTCCTCCTCCTCCTTCTCCTGCCCCTTCCGCCTGCTCTGTGTCCTCGTGCTTCTCCCCTCCTGCTTCTCTTCCCCGCTCCTCGCCCCTCCGTCATCCTCGCACCCTTCATTATCCCCCTTCTGCTCCTCCTTCGTCGACCACTCCCCCTCATCCTTGCATGGTCCAAATCGCGTGGCACTGGACGCTCGTTAAATGAAATCCTCCTCCTCCTCCTCCTCCTCCTCCTCCTCCTCCTCCTATCCTCCCTCCCTCCTCCTCTCCTCTCCTCCTCCTCCTCCCCTCCTCCTCCTCCTCCTCCTCCTTCCTCTCCTCCTCCTCCTCCTCGCTCTCCTCCTCCTCCTTCCCCTCCTCCTCCTCCTTCTCCCGGGCGCAGCGCCGCGGACTGGTCCACTCGATGCGCCTGTGCACTGCGGGCGGGTGGCGCACGATGCCCTTTCCGCCACCGCCCGGGGCGCCCCCCCCGCGGCGGGTGGCGCGCCTGCCGGTCACGCCGCCTCCCGAGCGGCGCGCCGAGGCGCTCAAGCGCGCCGACCGCGGGGGGGCCTGGCGCGTCACCCCTCACACGGGGCCCTCTGCAGGGTGACCCCCCCCCCCCCCCGGCCTCGCTCCACGGGCTCGCGGGGCTCGCGGAGGGGCAGGGTGGGGCCGAAGGCCCCGCCACGCCAGCACCTCGCCCTTCTCCACCTCCTCCTCCTCCTCCTCCTCCTCCTCCTCCTCCTCCTCCTCCTCGTCCTCCTCCTCCTCCTCCTCCTCCTCCTCCTCCTCCTCCTCCTCCTCCTCCTCCTCCCCCTCCTCTTGGTTTGAGGTTTGGTGTTTGGATTTTGGTATTTGGGGCTTATGTCACTGGGGTTTGGGGTTTCCGCTGAGGGGCAGGAGCGCCACCCCTTTTCCTCGAGAGCCACTCCTTGTTGCCCAGAGAGCATGTTTTGTCTCGGAGGGGGACGTGCGCCAGGCTCGGTTGTCGGCCGGACGGATATGAGCTTGCCGCCCGAGGAGCTCCTCGGCCTGTGCTGCCGCGTCATTGCGCTGCGTTGGCGTTTGACATGGCGTTGTTATATAGCCCGTGGTCGTAGGCCGGGGCGCGAACATCCGCCTACACAGGGTGGTCAATGCGGCCTGTGTTTGTGTGTGTGTGTGCCCCGCCTGACCTGCCCTCCGCCGAGTTGTGTCTGTGGCGCGTCGCAGGAGGAGGAGGAGGAAGAGGAGGAGGAGGAGGAGGTGCGTGCGAGTTGCGGCTGCGCTGGTGCGCGCGCTCGTGCCCGTGCCCGCGCGTCCCTGCGTGGGGCAGAGAGGAGCGGGAGGGGAGGCGAAGGGGACGAGACCCGCGGCAGGGGGCGACGCGGGGCGGCGGTGGAGGGGAGGGGTGTCGTCGGCGTCACCCCAGCATGCAGTGGGGGCCCATGCCAGGAAACACCCTGCTTGCCTCCAAGGCTGCCCCAGGTTTCTTGGGTTTCGAGGGTTCTGCTCTGAAGAGCGTGACGTTCCCGCGCCGAAAATCGATGGACGTCTTGGGGTCTCAGGTTTGGGTTTCTTGTGGAAGGTTTCTTGTGGACTGGCCTCCACTGTACTAACATTATATGAGCGTCGCCCCCCCAGGGGCGACGCGCGCACGGAGAAGTCTTATCGTACGTGCGTCGTGGCGAGCGCGCTTTCCGACCACACCGATCGGGAAACGAGATACTACAACAGGGGTATACTACATGTGCGGGTCGCACTCGCGCCTCCAGGGAGGACATCGAGTGTTAGTATGGCGTTGTGCGTCCACTGCCGGAGGACCGTGTCCGAGGTCGGCAACGCACCTACCCCGCCAAGTCGATTTGCGAATCGCGCCTCCTCGGCTCTCGAGCGGGCGTTGCGGCCCCACCTGTTTCGAGAGACTGCGCCCTCCGGGCCTCGCCCGGGATCGCTCTCACCACAGGAGCTTGTGCTGGAGGGGGCCCTGTCAGCCCCCGATCCAGGAGGTAGAAGCGAGCACAGCCAAGACGCCGAAGTACGAACAAGCCACTGGGGCTCCGGAGCCGCGCCCGTCTCCCCAGATCGAGGTCGGGAGCCCCGATTCTTCGCGCCCGAGGCTGGCTGGCCGTGGACAAGACTGCCCCCGGTCCTGCTTTGGCGTTCCTCCTGGCAGCGTGGCGAGCGCGGTGGGGAGAGGAGGGGTGTGGGCGAGCATGGAGACGACGGGGGGGAAGGGTAAAGGGGGCAGGGACGGAATCATTGATAGACGGAGTGGACCCAGAATGGACGCATGCAAAAGAAACAGACTGAGGTACCCAGGGAGGGATGAAGGGGACGCCGAAGTGCCCGAGTTATAGAATTCCCGCACCCTCTCCACTCAGCGGACCGAGCGTGCAGGATGGGGCGGTTATATGTAAGTTCAGTCCCCTGCCAGGTGGCGGCTGCTCTGTCGAAGATCGACCGCTGGTCCCTTGGGAAACCCAATTCGCTTGAGGGCACAATTCTTGTTGTTGATGGTGTTCCTCATATTTCTTCCACATTCTCCCTGCCAGTCTGATTGTCCACAGTCTCCTCTTCCCTCATCATGTGTTCATCCTTCTCCGCCTGAGCCCTCCGCGAAAATGATCTTGGCAGCCAGTCCGAGGACGACATGATGAGGACGAGGAGGAGGATCATGAGGAGGGACCGACTGCTCCAATGCGCTTCCGTCTCTTGCACCCCCTGCCCTCAAGAGCTCCCAAGATGCCCCCCGAAGAGCTCCAATGATGCACCCAAGAGGCGTCCAGAGCGGCTCTTGGGGGCATGTGCAAGCCTCGGAAGCGCATCGGTGGCGGAAATGCGAGAACACAAGAATCACAAATCTCCCTTCAGTATCTCCCTTCAGTTTTACAATGGCTTTGGCCTCTCCAGGGCTTCCCCGGAGTTCTTCAGGGACTCTTGGAGGCCTCTTGGGGCGATCTTGGGTGCTCTTGGAGGCCTCCAGAGCCAACTCGGCAAAGCAGGGAATTCCCTGATCTCCTTTTTTGTTCAAGCTCGACCCCGCCTCCGTTCCCTCCTTGCCCAGGCTTTGGCGTTACCCAGAGTGTGTGTTCCGTTTTCCCCATCCCTCGTTGTCCATGAAATTTGTTTTTTTTGTTTTCTCTCTCTCTCTCTTGTTCTTGGGTGTCCTCCGTCTCCCGTCTACGTCCTTCTCATTTCTCTCCTCCTCCCTCCTCTCCGCTGCGTCATTTGTTCGTCTCTCCTTCACGCCTTCCTCCCTCCGCCTTCCTCATGCTTTTCCGTCTCCCCCATCCCTCATCCTTATCTCTCCTTCACTCCGGTGGGAGGCCCAGCTTGAAAAAAACAGTTCCCTCACATCATTTGTTCTACCATCCCCATCCGTGTCCTCCTGTCCCGGGCTTGGCATGCCCCCGAGTGCGTTTCCAGTTTCCCCATCCCTCGCTGGCCGTTCACCCTGATCTTTCTTTCCTGCTCTTGGTTCTCCTCCGTCTCCCGTTCTACATCCTTCTCCTTCCCCTCGAAAATCAAGGATTGTGGCCTCTTCAGGCCTTCCTGGAGGACCTCTTGGAGGCCTCTTGGGCCGTCTTGGAGGCCTTTGGGGGGCCTCTTGGGCCGCTTTGGGCCATCTCGAGGCCATCTTAGGCCGTCTTGGGCTCTTTCGGAGCCATCTTGGCCAGCTCGGTGACCATCTTGGCCGTTTTGGAGGCCATCTTGAGGCCATCTTAAGCGAAAGCACCGCCGAGAGATGGGTCGACCGGAGCTTCCTGGGTGGCCGGCGGGCTGGGCCGAGACCCACTGGGGAGTTCATCAGGAAAGAACCGAATACCCGCCAGACGCGTGCCACGCCCGCCGTGCACCCCTCTGGCAAGACCACAAGGGGCGGCGGATCGAGTGGCCTTTGGCCCACCCCGCCACCGCGCCTGGGTTGTAGGCCAGAGGCCTCTTGGATGCTCGTGGGAATCTCCCATGTGGCCTCTCGGAAGCCTCTTCGAGGCGGTTTGGGGGTGTCTTGGGGCGTCTCGGGGGCTCTTCGGTTCTGATTTGGGCTTCTGAGGGGCCTCAGAGGGGCCTCTTGGGGGCACCTGGGGGGCACCTCGGGGGCCTCTGGGGGGATCTTGGGGCAATGTTTGCGCGGAGGGCACGAAATATCAGTTCGTGTTCCCCCTCTTGGAGCTTTCTTGGGGGCCTCTTGAGCAGTTTTGGGACGATCTTGGACGCCTATTGGGCCGTCTTGGACGCTCTGAAGACCGAGTCGTCGGTAATGCGAAACCCAAACGAAAGCCAATTCTTATCGTGCGATGTTTGGTCTGTGGGCCGCCTTCCAGGGCCTCCAAGACGGTCCACTAGGCGCCCAGGAGGGCTCCAGGACGATCCCTGAAGCCATCTTGGTCCTTGTTGGAAGGAGGAGGAGGAGGAGGAGGAGAAGGAAGAGGAGGAGGAGGAGAGGAGGAGGAGGAGGAGGAGGAGGAGGGGGAGGGGAGGAGGCCTCTCCCGCCCCGCCTGTGCTCCCTGGGTCTCCGCAGTCTCAGGTCTGACGTCGTCGCACGGGACCTGGAGGACATGGAGAAGGTGTGCAAGGCCTTGGCCCCGGGAAGCGGCACGGGCGGCGGGCGGAGGAGAGCGGGAGCGGCGCAGAGAGGAGGAGGAGGAGGAGGAGGAGGAGGAGGAGGCGGAGCAGGAGGGCCAGGAGAAGGCAGAGTTGGAGGGGAGAACGGCGTGGGTAGGGACACCAACAGAGAGCTAGCGTGACAGACGTTTTTTGGCGATACGTACATGTTATATCTATGGGTATTCGCCAGTGCGGACCCCAAACAGTGGTCTAGCATGCCACGTGGTGCAATCGACGTGGTGCAGCTAATGTTTGCTCGCAGAGAGCTGTCAATCCCACTTCTCGCGCAATCACCCACCGACCCGCAACTTGTTTTGCATAGAACCATGTGGCGGCGATTGCGATGAGTGCTTGGTGTTGGCTGGTGCATTCCTGCGGCTGCGCTAGCCCGCGCATGCTCGCGCGCGGAACGGCCAGCTAGTTTGGTGCAGCCGACGCGGCCGCGGTGGCGCTTACCGCTGGGCACTTCCCAGCGGGCATAGCGGGCACTCCAGTGCGAGTTAGCGACTTGGGCGGGCGCGGTATTATAGCAACGTCGACAACGGTAGACAGCATGATGCTAGTAGCGATGCTGGTGACGACGGTGACAACGACGGTGGCAAGGCCAGTGACGGCGCCGATGCTGGTCACTCCGACGACGGTGACGGCGTCTTCGCGTCGGTTATGCAAGTTTGAGAGGGGGTTCGACCTTCGCGCGCGACCGACGCGCGAGAGTGGCCCGCATGGTTTCATGTGACACGGACCGTGCGCCCCTACCACGCGTGCAAAGGCGTCCGAACCATTTCGACATGCGGCGCGAGAGCCCGATCTTGACATGCGCGCGCAAGAGGCCCGCTTGGTAACATATGATGAGAGTGTTGAAAACAGATGGCATAAACAAATCGCTAGAGTGTAGGCGCAAGCTTTTTTTGTTGAGATGCTTCGTTGCGAAACCATGCGCTGTTTGGTTTTATTGGTTTTCGGGATACCGCTTTTCGAAACCACTGCGGACCCCAATGTTCCTGAAGGATGTTGGCATGCGCGCGCGACGACGCGCGCGTGTGCTGTTCGTTTTCTGTTGCATGGGATTTTTGAAAACGAAAAAAATAGTTATGCGCGAGTGTGCGCGCTTAGTTTCTGTTGCAAGTGATGCGGTGGGGGGGCGAGACCGGCCTGCTTGGGATGGTACGGGTTCATACTTGGGGTCGACGATGGGGCAGAATCGTATGCAACTTGCAATACGAAAAAGAGGTGCTGTTAATTCCGGGGTGGGGGAGATTCTATCCTTATTCTACAGAGGAGGACACACGGTGTGCAAGCCATGTGGTGTAAGTTGTGTGGCCTGACCGGGGTGATGCAGTGTACGTGGTTCAAAACGCGTGGCTCCACCGTGGTGCAGTGCCGCGGTGCATGCAAAGCAACTCAAGTCGATGCCAACTCGTGCAAAACAGCGCCAGTAACGCAATGGTAATGCAATGTGGAATGACGCCACGCAACGCAGAACAATGCACAACAATGCGAAACCATTCAAAGGAATGAAAACACGAACGCCAAGCAATGCCAACCGCTGCCACGCAATGCACAGACATGCGAACCAAGACAAAGCAATGCGAAGCAGGCGGCGACGTGGCGACGGGCGGCGACGCGGCGGCGAAGGCAGCGAAATGGCGGCCAGAGCGGCGGGCACGCCGAGGAGACGGGCGGCGACGGGGCGGCGACGGCGGCGACATGGCGGCCAGAGCGCCGCGCAACCCAAGACGATGGGCGGCGACGAGGCGCGACGGGGCGGCGACGGCGGCTACATAGCCGCCTGACAAACGCGCAGGCCCAATTCCTTAAACGACAGGCGCGAGCCCACAAGTTCAGGCACTGTTTAGGGAATCGATGTATAATATGTATATATATGTAGAGCGAAGTTGAAGGAGACAACCGAACACTGGGGTAAAAAATCCGGACTATGAAGTTATCGACAACGTCGTCGATCCTCTGGCTAGAAGTTCCCAGGTAGAGAAAAGAGACCCATGGCACAAGTCGCTGCCAGCATTTCAGATCGTGCGTTTATACTCGTAGGGTATGCTTGATAATTTGTCCATCCACTCATAGACGTGATTTTGGGTTGAGTCTGGAGGAAGGAGTCTGGAATGTCATAATTCATACGCAACGTCGTCTTCAGAACTTCAAACTATGGTCAATCACGCCAAAGATGGCGAAGAGAACGTAAGGGATGGTCGTAACATTTGCATGTTCGACTGTTCTGGAGCCTCGTATGGGTCTGACCAGTTCCGGCTCGGTAAAACACCCACACCCTCTCCTGATCAGGCTCGAGTCCCTTGGAGAATTCTTGAACACGTTTGCCGTTGCATGCGCCAGCGTTCATTGAATCGATGCCCTCTGTTTCAAGACGGCTCTTGTGAATTGCTTGAACATCGGATGCGCGCAAGTGCTAGGACAACGTGAGGGACTTCATCTGAGGCCGCTCTCCAAAAACTCCACTGATCATCGCGAACACGTTGTGCAACTCGGAGGACCCTGGGGTCATCATCATCTCGATCTCGGAGCTGGATGCCACACTTCGGATCGTAGCCGCACGCCTCGATCCCCAGCTCGTAAACATGCGACTGGACCCCACGGAGTACAAACCGACTGGGCGCAATATTCTCTCTCAGGATGCCTTTCCAGCTATGGGTGGCAGGAGACAAGAGAGGATGAAGTTGCACACGCGTAGCCCACCACCTTCAGCACACCACCACCTGCATTTAGATTTGATCACGGCGTGAAAGATCTCGCCGGCGAAACTCTTGGGCACGGGCTCTACCAGAGGTCCCCCCAAAACCACTAGGGCATTACGCACGCTGCTAGAAGTCGATTTCGGACTTCTTCAGCTTCTGGGAAAGAGGATCTGGACAGCACGATGAAGATTGGACCCTCCTCCTCTGGGTTTGATAGGGGTTTCGGGGTCCGCAGGGTCACACACGAGGCCGAGGTGCTCCACTTCGTTTTGCTCCCCCCGCTCCCACATTAGTCGCTTTCCGTTCTATTCCGCATACCCGATCGAGTCATCGAACTCCTGGGTCACTTGGAGGCCTCTGGAGGGGAGTTTTTCAGCTTGGGGTCCCGACGCCGTCAAATTGCGGTCATCCACGTAGGCCCATCCATGGGCCGGCTCGCAATCCCAAGGAACCAGACTAGCAATCATAGCACCAGAGGCACACGAATCACTTTGAGGGAGCCCACGGAGTACCCACAGGAGCTCGGCAAACCGGTTGCTCACGCAGCAGATCCTAGGACCAATCCATGCACACGCACAGCACGCAACCACTGAGGCAAGCGCTAGCTCGGCACGCAAAGCGGCAGCAGCAAAACCGTGATCATTATAATCATATGCCGTCGGCAGGTCAATGCCAGCTCCATGATCATCATCACCAGCAAGCCAGGGAGACAAGGTATGGACCACGGACACAGCAGCATTGAGGAACTTGAGGAAGAGCAATGGCTAGAGGAAGCAGCTCGAGCAAGAGCAGTGGCTAATATCAAGAGGGAGAGGAAGAGCAATGGCTAGATTATATGCGAGTTGGTTTTCAACAGCTTGAGGAAGAGCAATGAATGGTTAGAGCAGCGAGCCAGATGCGTTCACTTGTTCAAGCCACAGATATTGGCCGACTATCATTTTCATGTTCGTCCGGTGTGCCCACAACTCTGCAGGAAATGATGTTTGCAGCAAAGAGGCTCTTTCCGAGCTTGCCTCCGCACTCAGTGGCAGCTCTGGTTGTATTTACCCACGCGCCATACAGCTCCTGGACGATAGAGGGGCACACGATACTGAGTAGCTTGATTCCTTTAGCGGTCCAGCCGTCGAATCCAGCCGTCGAATTTTTCATGGCTGCCATGAAGGACTCGTAATCTGGGATCCAATCCGAGGGGTGCTCGCTGGTCGGGAAGGGTCTCGTAGACTTGGCAGCCCACTCCTCCCACGCTTCAACTGTCTGGATCCCGAGCAATATTCATTTGGGCACCAAGGGGCTTCCCACGCGTTCCTCATGCCTTCCGCATCGAAGCTCGCTGCTGGGCTAGCTTGCTTGAAGATAGGGGCCGTCGCCTTCCCGATGTCCTGGGACCATTCTCTACAGCGAAAGTTCCAAGCGTTCCTCTTCTCATGCTTCCTTTTGTTAGCCTCGATCGTCACAGCCCGACTCGCTACCTCGAGGGCTCGGCCCTGAGAGGGCCAGCCATCACACGGCTCAACCAGGCCATATGTAATTGCATGTACATAAGCTGAAAAATGACGAGTCTCAAGATTCTGGACCACGCCAGAATTGTATCTGACTTGTCTGTCGAAGGCTCGGTGGAGTCGACGTACCTGCTGAGCGAGAAGCTTGAGGCCCACCTCGAGCATTGGGCGCAGTGCCCGACGAGACGTCCACAGCGCCTTCGGGGGTGCTCAAGTCGCCGTGCCAGCCGAGCGCGGCAGAGAGGCGGGCTCATGAAGGACGCTATCTACCTTTTGGGCGGCGCGCGCTCGACATCATCTCTGCGGGCGCAGACGAGCCCGCGATAAAGTTCAACGTGGAAGGAGGGCGATGCAACGCCAGGGAGAAGCTCGAGATGACGCGGGCGGATCTGGATAAGGCGATTTCGGTGGTCAGCGCACTTGACTGCAAGGTTCTAGCCCGGGCGTCGCCTCGTGCCCGCGAGAAGCTCAACGACTACAAGATCGGGTTTCTCCTGACTGCATTGGAGGCGTGGGGTCGCGCCGCTGCGGCGCTGCGGGCGGGCCCGGGGCCTGCTGCGATGGCTTTGGCGAATGCAGTGAGGGGCTGTCGATCTCACTGTGCAGCGGCGCGGGGGTCGCCGCCCTTCCCGCGGCAAAGCGCCGGGCGCAACGAGGGCGCGAGCGAGTCTACAAGCTGAAGCTCGAGCAGAATCTCGGGACGGAGATCAAGAAGCTGGATCCGACCATGCCGTGGCTGGTGGACGCCGCGGGCCGGGTGAT